AAAAAAAAAAAGTTGATTTCATCAGAAATTAAATACGCAGACTAGGGAGAGACTCTGTGGTTAGAGAACTAGTCAAATACCCAGAACTCTCATTGGCTGGGTGTGGTAATACATCTATAATCCCAGAGGTCCTCCAGGGAAGACCAAGACAGATGCTTCCAGAAAGGCCACAGACCAGCGAACCTGGTATGCATCAGCCAACAACAAGATTCTGCCTCAAACAAGTTGGAAGGTGAGGACTGACAGTCAACCAGTGTACCATGATATGTGCACCTGTGGACTCGTACAAACACAAACATGAACGAATAAAACTTGTGTGCACAAGAGAAATTATCATCAGATAAAAAGACAGTCTTTAGGATAGGGAAAATGTCGTTTTGGAATAACTACAAATCCTCTGTAATATAAAGGTAATCCATAAATTGTGCGAAGAAATAAAGATGGACAATAAGAACTTGAAAGATGACCAACTGCCCTGGAGAAATGCCAGTTTCGCTGTAGTGAGCCCTGCCCACCCATTTGTATAGATTTTGATTACAATAATGAAGCATAAATGTTGTCTACAGAAGGGAAAATTAGAACCCTCGTACACTGAAAGTGAGGATGTGAAGTTGTGTGATTGTAGAAAATCATTTGGCAAGTCTTTAAAAAGACTAAATATATAATTATGTATTTTCCAGAAATTCTGTGCTCATTTGTTTATACACAAAAGTATCAGAAATAGATACCTAAGAAGATACGTATTCACTAGTGATCACTGTAGCATCCTTGCAGTATTCAGAAGCTGTAAATGTGGAGTCTATATGATCATATAAAAGTGTATGCTCTGTGTATGTAATGAAGTATTACGCAGCCACAAAAAGAGAGAAAATTTGATATATGTAAAATCATTAATAAGCATTGAAAGAAACATGCTTTTTCCTAACCTTAATCTGCTAGGGCTAGGGAAATTATGAATAGAGTTTTAATATTTATTATTGTTGTTGTTGTTGTCATACTGTGTGGGTGAAGTGGCTTCTGTGTCACAGAGCAAGCCCTCAGGTCAGAGTTTGTGGAGTTGCTTCTCTCCTTACACCTTCTGTGGGTTCCAGGGAGATCCTCAAGCTCACCAGGTTGTGGGAGAGTGTCTATACCCACTGAGTCATGTGCTAGCTCTGTTTTTTTTTTATTTTTAACTTTGAAAATAAAGTTTTGTGATTCATTATATGTCCTCATGCCTTTGCCTAAGTTCTTTTTATTGAAAGCCTTTTTATAGACATAGAGAATATTTATAACTTATTGTAGTCTATTTTTTTAATTCACTTCCCAAAATTTATTTTCACATGAATTGGCTTACAAATCCAGAGACATTTATTGACTTTATAATGCAGATCAGACAACAACCTTCTAAGTCAATCATGTGTGTTTTTTACTTTAGCGATGTCATGGAACCTAGACACTAGTCATGTATTAGAAGGCAGTTTGGGGCATCAGTAGGTCAAACACTGTTCTAAGTAACAGGAGTATGGTGATAAACCTGACGAGTATGGTTCTTTATACCTTTTCAGCCTGTTTCTGGCCCCAAATAGTCTCCATTGCAGTTTCTTCCTTTTATTCTGCATGCTGTGTGCTTTTCATGTTTTGTGTATAGGACCCAGGAAGAACACTGTGAACGTCATGAGGCCATGAGAGATATGGCCATGACTGTGTCTTCAGCCTCCACTGTAGTGTTTGAGTGGTCAGGACTCAGTGACTGCTCAGCAGATGAGCAAACAAATGAGAAATCAGAACCAGAAAAACTTAAGGTTTGTTTTTTTCCAGCAACAGGATAGTCAGCTGTGTCAAATGTCACTGACAGGACAAACAGGAGTGACATGAAGAGTGGGTTTGTCCAGACACACCTGTGATGGATGATTAGGGCGGGATTGGAGAAAAGGTAATAATTGAGTCGATCTGAGAGAGGTACTGAGATTGAAGGTTAGATGTTAAGAAGCTGGAGGACATCCAGAATTCCTTAAAGGATGCCAAATTAATAAGGTACTTTTATCTAATTGAGTGCCATAGACAGAGCTTTTCAAATTAAAAGTGATCCTTTGATGCTACGTAATGAATACTTTTTATCATTGCTTCAGTTATCTTTTACATAAAGTTTTTTTTTTAAATTTTGAACCAATCAAATTCTAGATTGTATTTGATCATAATATCTTTAAGTCAAGTCTTTTTTATAAAATAATATTTCATTGCTTATAAAACTGGATGAATTGTCAATAAATGTATTTTACATCCTTATGGAATTTGACTTCCTTTTGGTATGGTCAGTTTCTGAGTTTTCAGTGCTATCTGTAACTGTAATGGAAGGCTGTTTTGTTACATTTCATTGCAGCTGTTTTTGGGGGTATGCCCTTCTCAGAGGAGCTGTGCTTGATCCTACATCCCAGCAGTGTATGCTTCTAGATGTTTCATCTTGCTAGTATTGACACCTAAAATCGAGTGGAGATACTGACATTTCCATGCACATTTTCCCATTAACCTTTCATTCAGTTTTTCTCAATTTGTCATTTTTGCCTAAGTTTTAATTCATTAAATTTATAGAAATGTCTTGTTCCAATTATGTTAATGTTTTTAACCACTGAAAATATCCAAGAGAAAAAGCATGGTGTATACAGAGGAAGTCCATCTTAAGCAGGAAGAGTGTATGCTGGGTGAAAAGAAATGAAAATACCTGGGAGCTGGTCTAAGGGTCTGGCCAAAAATTGCAGCAGCACAGAGAATATATTTTACTGCATTTCTGTGAAGAATTTGCCATGATCTGCTTGAGAATTGTACCCTCTTTTTAGAAACGTGGGTTTTTTTTTTAATATTTGATATTGCCTTTGAAATAGAAACATTAAGCCATTTCCAATATCGCTTTTGCTCTTTGCCAACGGTCTTTCTTGTTATGAACACATTTTATAATTTATCTGTTACCATATGTGACATGAAAGTAGCAGGGAGGGATGTTTGGAAAGGGAACAGGAAGTGGAAAGTTATAAGGAAGGACAGTGACCATTATGAAATCAGTCATGATGCCGTGAATTTACACCTGTCTTGCCGTGTGGGTTGGAAACAATGGTGTAGGATGCGTGCGCGTTTTCCTGTAGCTGAGTCTCAGCGTTGTTGCACTCTGTTGCAGAGAGTAGTAAATGCTGCCATTAAGCAAATAAAATGATAAATATCTGGCAGTTTAGCTTAGACACTAATGGAGTCTAAAAGCCTTTAAAATGACAAAACCCGGCAACTTTTATGATTTATAGGCTCATTTGTGTTACATAGTTTGGTCATATATTTGACAGGATTTCTTTTTTTTTTTTTAACTCTCTCCTAAAAAATTATGGTTTTGTGTTACCTGAGTGCAAAGCCATTAGGATTCAGGAGCAGAACAGAACGGCGTCTCAGCTAAGTCTCCCAGTGTTGGGCAGTTTCCTTTGGGGCCCACCCTGTTTGCACGGTCCTAAGGGAAAGGGTGTGATCCAGGCAATCTGTGTGTCTACGCAACAGTGGCCCTGTAAACTGCCCTCAGAATGCCTCACGCTTGCTCTTGTGTAACGTCGTATTTAGGCGTTTCTATTTCTTTATGAATCAGGGTTTTCCATTTATTTTCTGTTAGTCTACACAGTCTGAAGAACACTGGTTGCTGTGGTCAGACACATATTATGTTAAATCAAAACTCTAAGAATAACATGGATTACACAGTGCTCAGTTATGTTGTGCCAGGCTTCTTTCTTTGGAACTCGTTGTTTAAGCCAGACTGTTTTGGCATCCCCAGAGCGCTCTGTGGTGTCTCTGGAAGCAGTGATGTAATCTGATCTGTGTTCTGTGTGGTCTGAGAACCTGAAGAACATTTTGCATTAGCCGCATTGATCGGGAATCCTTTCCAGTCATTTACTAGACAATTAATACAGTCTTGTAAAGTGTCCCCTGGGTGTCCGTATAAACTTGATCATTTACCCCAGGACCAAAAGATGCATCAATATAGACAAGAGTAACTTAAACTGACTAATAGAAACAAGAAAATCTAAATCCACAGATCACATTATGTTCTGTCCATCCTTAAATATAAACTCTGCTTGTTCTTAATTCCTCTGAAACTCAAGAAACATATTTTTACAAATTGAAATTTTCGTTGACAAAAATATGAAAATATAATTTAGATATTTCTATAATTATAGTCCTGTTCCTAAGTCCTGTGGTACAGGTCTGTCTGTAAGGAATTATGAACATCGTTTGCATCAGTCTTGAAAGCAACGTTGAGTCTTTGTGATTGTTTTTTTAACCTTAGAAGTTTTACGATTTTGTACATACACATTGGCACAAATTTTGAAATCCTGGCACCAGTGAGAACTGTAGTGCAGGTCTTATTTCCAATTTGTAAGCCATCAGGTGGTTCGGATCACTGAAGTAATGGCTGTGTAATCAGTCTGTAAGTCAAGCCTGCTGTAGTCAGCCTCAGAACAGTATGAAAACTAATCTTGGGTTGTCATGACCTGAAGGTGTGTCCACAAAATTCCTATACTGTATCATAGATAATCTAAGTCCTGTTTATATGTCCCTGATATTATATTTAAAGTACATCATCAATAAAATTGATATTCATTCTTGTATTCAAAAAGTATAATACTTTACTGATTTTTAAAAATGAGCTCCTTAAAAGGTATTTTCATGGATTCTTATCTGTTACAGCTTCTAGTCCTAAGGCCTTCTTTGAGTACTGCATGAGTATTTATTCCGTGAATGAGTGATGAGCTCTGATCTCTAGATCTTTGGTTCTTCTAGAACCCAATGGCCTGTTATGAGAATAAAAGGGAATGAATTCTGACATCTTTTAAGAAGTAAAGGTATTGATTACTTTAATTTCAGTTGAACACTAGAACATCAGCGCTGTAAACATTGCAGTGTTTTATCAACATTAAACCTTCTTTTTCATGATGTCTCAATGTAAAACGAAAAGGACACTTTTCTGAAAACGAGTCTTCTGTCTTCAGGTACCACTGAGAGGGTATGCTTGATCCAGGGAACGGTTGAAGCACTGAATGCAGTTCATGGATTCATTGCAGAAAAAATCCGAGAAATGCCCCAAAATGTGGCCAAGACAGAACCAGTCAGCATCCTGCAACCTCAGACCACCGTTAACCCTGATCGCATCAAACAAGTGAGTGTTCGGTTGGGAAATGAGAGAGGAATACCCGCAGTGCAGTCCGAGTTCCTGCCAGGAAAAGGCTTAAACTTATCTGAAGTTGTCGTTTAGTGTTTTTAAGAATTTCACAGCCCTTGATTGGCAAACCAAGCTATTGATTAATTGAATTCTACATTTATTAGAGATACACAAAGAGGCACTGCTGTGACTCCTTGTGAATGTTTTTTGCAGATATGGAGGCAGGGGTTTTATTAACTAATGGAACTCTACTCTGTTTAAAATATAACACTTCTTAAATGAATTATAAAAAAAATGGAAATGAAATTTCTATGTTCCACATTTCCAATGCCCAACTTTAGTGACATTCGTAGGTCTCAGGATAGGTATTGTGTACAGACTCCTGTTTTGCTAATCTGCCATGTCTGACATTTTATCAACACGTGTGTAAGTCAATCTGTACAGCTAGAGTTCAGGCCTTTGTTAGCGATCACCCATTATGTTTTGTATCACATGTGTAGTACCTATATCTGTTATGAAGGTCCAATGTCAAATTTTAATGTATGGAATTTTCTGTCAAAAAAAATTTTATGACAAAAGCACTGTGAATTTTTAAGACTGAGTAATACTTGAGATGACGTAGGGAAACAACACTGCTTGATGTTAAATAAGGCAGATTCTTCTACCGTAAATATTTTAGACATACATATTGATAGTTTTGCCCATAAGTATTGTCTACTTTTGCCCTTTTATTTAGCCACTTAATTTATGACTTAGTTTTATTATCAACAAATTGTGATTTTAGAATAAATGTATTATTATTTATAAATTAACAGAAAACTTATTTTCATTGTAATGAATTTGAAATGTAGTTCAAAATTCTATTAATTTCATGTTTCTGAACTGAAAATATATTAACCAGTACTATGAACCTATTGTAATTTAATCATGTATCAACTTTGAATTCATAATTGGATACCATATGCTCAACTTATAGAGTAATATTTGATTATCTATTAATAATCTGTTTTTAAAGTACTTCCTTGTTTAAACCATGACAAAGTAGTTCTTACTCCATATAAAGAATGCTCTCACTGTTTTCCATCAGTGTTGGATAGCTGTAATTTCAGAACTCTAAGGGAATATATCTCTATGGATATGTGGCAACAGCTACATACCTTAAAGCTCTAAGTTTATACTAGTGTTTTTAAATTCACAATCACTTAGTAGCGTGAAGTGCTTTTTTTAATCCATGCTAGGTAAATACAAAATAATTCAAAGCCTGTTGATTTGACAATGATACGGAGACCTCATTAGATTGGAAAACAAGGTGTCTTAGATGGCAGATATCCAAGTTAAGATCAGGTGGGGCTAGAAATGTCCTGAGTGAGCACTGAAGTATCCGCCCTCTTTGCTTTCGGCCTTAATCCAACCCATCCATTCTCCCTTTTCTGCCGTAACTTCTATTTAAACATTCAAACATTTAGGTGACCACTTGATGTCTCTTTTAAAATAGACATAAAATTATGCCTTGAATAATATAAAACTCTATCTAGAACAGTAATATGAGACTTCCTTTAATGTTTATGTAGTCACAAGTACCAGGCAGCATCAAATAGTAGACTGAATCATTTTTGAAGTTCCAGTTTTAGCTATGGCTATATAGATGAGATGGGCAGGCGGTCATGTATGCAGGGCCAGTGTACACTGATGACTGCCACCAGGATTATAAATCATTTTGCTGATTTTTGTTTGCCTTGTACAGATATTAATTATGTTTAGGATAAGTTTTAAGTGTTAATATTTATTTATCAAGCTTTTTATGCTTTTATGCCTTGTTACTCAGAGAATTAAAAATTATTGTTAAGTTCTACATTTTCATGAAATCAGCAATACAGATAGCAATGAGTCATTACAAGGGTGCAGGAACCGAGCCTTGAGTGTGCTGAGGCAGCGTATTTAACACACATTATCTGTATAGTGTAGAACCTATGCCAAGTTTCTTAAAATTTGTAGGATAAATGTGTTTTTGACCTATAGTAAAGCATCTTCTTATGCTCAGCGTTGCAGCTCTTTAACTTTTTAGGTATCTAGTTTGCCAGTTTCATATTTCTTACCAAACAATGACCAACGTAGTTGTCAAGTATGTAAATTTTAATGGTTATTATTTTATTTCTCATAAAATGATGCCATTTAACACATAGAATAAGTATTTATAAAGTAAATTATTTTGTTATAGAATAGATTAAAAAGTGGCTTTCTTGTTGTTTAAAAGTTTAAATTTTAATCCACAGACTCTGAAGATGTCTTGCTAAGAACTTTGCACAGAACAAGTGATCCAGTATTTGCTTTTACTTTAGGATTTAGTCCCTAAAAATAATTTCTTTTCAAGTTTTAATTACAAATATTCCTTTACGGAAGGTTACTTACAGAATAAAACTGGAGTTAACGAAATGTTAGAGCCAGATATCAGATCTATAAACAGATTCAAGTAAAAAATGAAATTATGAATTTTGCTTAGTGTTTACATTACTATTATTATTCCTAAATGCTTGTTTTGGGTTGACAGTTTTAAACTTTTACTATTAAAAATTTTAACGTATAATTTATACTTAAAATCATAAGTCAAATGTGGTTCTCAGAAAGGCAGATTTTAAAAATGCTGACTTCCCATTATCTGTTGTGGTTTTCTAATCAATTATGTCCTGCACTGTATGCTAGATACAGTTTATCAACTATGTACATCTTATAAACCATAATTCTCCATCCATACGTCCCTATCTTTCCTGGTTGATGGCATCATATTAGTGAGGTTTCTTGTGTCCCGCATGCTCATTTCAAAAGTCCTCCATGCAGGACAGTGATGAACTTCTTCAGTGCCTGAGATCCAGCTTCGTGTAATAGATGCAGGTTATTAATTTCTTAATTCTGGACTCCCTGTAAAGCCAAGCTGTGCAAGGGAAAAGAAAAGTAAGAAACATAAAGAATTTTCTTACATTTAAAAATGCCAGTACCGCCAGGCGGTGGTGGCGCACACCTTTAATCCCAGCACTCGGGAGCCAGAGGCAGGTGGATCTCTTTGTGTTCGAAGTCAGCCTGGTCTACAAGAGCTAGTTCCAGGACAGGAACCGAAATCTATAAAGAAACCCTGTCTCGAAAATCAAAAAAAAAAAAAAAAAAATGCCAGTACCTTTTTAAAACTGGACCAGAATTTTACTTTTCTGATAAGTTTGCAAAGTAACATTCCTCAAATTTTCAACATCGTTTATTCAAACATAGATTTATTAAATACTTAGTTGCCAAATATATGAAATTATATCCTTTGTACTTCATCCTAGCTTGTCTTGTAATGTTGCTTAACCTATGAAAGCATGTTTATGTTCCAGAGGTGCAGTTTAAGCAGTGTACCATAAACCTCAGAAGGTTCTAGTTAGGTAAGGAAGATGGAGAAAAGTTTGTTTTAGAAAGGTGAGATATGATGCAGCTTGAGAGAAGGCTTTCACAGCCCTTGACTAGTAACAGGACTGGCTGATTTGGTGTGTCTGTGCTAAGATTTAGAGAAAATTCATGTTAGTTAAGGAAGGTGAGGACAGATAAGGAAGACCCGTGTGTTTGGTAGAAGGATATTATAGACGACAAGATTATTCCTCATTTTCTTAAAGAGCTCCATTAATTTATCTTAAAGATTATTTAAAAAGTGAAGACATCTTTTCATTTTCATTGTTCTTTGTGAATAAAACAGGCCAAATTTTGAAGATTTATTCAGGCATTGTTATTGGTGGGAAAACAGATATGAAGGGACCAGATGTTAATGTTGGAAGACAGGTAGGGTGTCCATCAAAAATGACAAGCTATAGGAACAGTTGCCATTTAAATGTTTTGTTCTTAAGGACTAGTATAGAGGGATTATTTAACAGAAAACATGGAGCTTGGGGAGGTGATTATGGAATAATGTTATTGGCTGGCTGACAGATGAACATGGCTAGAACAGCTGAGACCTGCTATTCCCGCTTTACTTGTAAATATTAGATGTTCTTAACAACTTATTGTTAAAGAACCCTTTAAAGTAAAGATGCATTTATTCTATAGTTTGTTTATAGTAATAGTCTCTGGACCATAAAAACTCACATTTTAACATGAATTCATCATATAATTTGTTAAAATTTTTAGTTCTTAATTTATCAAAATTTAGTCTTATCAACATTTTACTAAATCTCTAGAATTAAAAATCTTGATATTACTAAATGCTTCATACTTCAAAAAAGTACATTGTTTTAGGCAGAAGCACACAGATCTCTGTGAGTTCAAGTTTAGCCTGGTCTACATCACAAGTTCTAGGTCAGCCAATGCTATATAATGAGCCCCTGTCTCAAAAAAATATATATTTCTGTAACATAATTCACACTGTATTATCTATAAAAAAAAGGGGGTTCAAAGTTACTGTGTCCTTCATGATCTCTACTTAAAAGGGAAAAATAGATTAGAAAAAATGTGTGCTTTGTAGATGTTGTACATCACAAATTTATCTCCATATTGATGTTATATGGATATTCAATTAATTACATATTCATGATGTATATTATTGAGAAGTATATCACTATGTTAATACTGAATAGTAATTTACTATAAATATTTTACTTATTAAATAGTAAAGAAAAGTCATTGAACAATTATATTTTATTTCAAAACACTTTACATGGATTTGTCTATATCTGCAGACTTAAAAACAATTTTCTCAACTATTCCATTTGCCCAAATAATAGTAAGCTTTAAAGTAAAGGCATTGTTTTAATATATTTATATTCATCTGTTTATTGGGGCAGCTTTTCTTCTAGAATTCAAAAAAAGCATGGAGTTTTAAATTTTTTGAACATTGCTTAGAATATAATTAGTACTGCAACTATAAAAAGAGGATGCATTTTATGTATCCAAGGGCCTGTTTGAGTAGTAGCTGGGAAAGCTGTTCATCTTTCTGCCACTAGAGTTGTGTAGACACCTCACCCAAGAAACGACACTTTTTGCCGTGACCTTGAAATAAGTGCACACTTGAGTAATTCTCACCTGTGTGAAATATGAAAATGTAGCTTCTTATCTAATCATCAAGCTTAATGATAAAGCCTTGTTATTTAAAGCACATTAATATAATTCAGAACTTTAAATTATTTATTTTATTCATAGAAGAAAGGGAGAGCAACCAAATTAGTAAGAACAATTTTGATGAATAGGAGTCGCATCAATTATTAATAGATATTCAGAATATATGAGAATCTTAAGGAGGAGTAATAAATTTTGACAGATCATCTGAATCTAAGTTATTACAAGTTCTGAGCCACATCACGTTACTGCTTTTCACATCTGTCTCTCTGCACTGTTTAAGCACCTCGCTGAGGGTGTGTGTCTGGAACGAGTGCTGTTATCCATCTCGTACTTGAGATTGATTCTATTCTGATGAGCGTGGACATACGGTATCTGGGTTTGGTATGACATGAACTTATATGGGAAGAAAGGAACCCTAGGTCTGACATCTATTTAGTCATAAATGTGGACTGAGTGTTGGACTTAGTGCAGAACACATGCTTAAATGTGTTTGACTCCACCCATAATTCCATTTTATTAAGCTAGGTTGAAAAAATGAAGCCTTTAATGTTGAACTCATATAACATGTGGTAGTGTGATGTTATTAAAAATGCCCCAGTATCCATTGCACAGAAAAAGTTCATATTAAAGTGGCCTTTAACGATGGAAAATAATGTTTCTCTAGAAAACTGACAAAAATTAATTATAAAGTGCCTTAAATAGAAAAGAAAAGATTTGGAACTTTGAAGGCCTGCCGAAGGCTTTACCCCTGACCTGGTAACATTTCCCGTTCTTTGTGTGACTTGAAAAATATCCCTATCTCAACACCACATGAGGTCGTCCACTTTTCCAATTGTTTTAAACTTTAAGAAAGAAAATGTTTCAAGGGAAAGACTTCTTGAAACACAGCTTAATGGTGCAGTAGTCTCACTGTGTTGGTGGAAGGCAGTGAGTTGACAGAGCCTTCAAATTTATCACCATCACTTTTATTCTTAACTGCTTTATCCAAATTGGCAGTTCTGACACCTTAAATACAGATATATGAACACTTTTATTTACTTTTTCTCAAACTTCAAACCTCCAAGGTTAGGCCTTTGTTTCTATTTCAGTAGTTTTGATGGACACGAAACAAGGTAATACATAATACCCATTATATAGGCTTGTCTAAGCTATAGAAAACTATCCCATTTGCCCATTAAGAAACACTCTTTTAAAGATCCCTGCCTAGCCATGATTTATGGTTAAGTGCAATATGATATGTAAACAAACATCTGAAGCCCTTAAACATTAAAACTGTCTTGTTAGGTGTTAAAGACCTCTGAAGACCCCAGGTGAATGACTCTGTGAACGTGGATGATTTGCTGTGTGTACATCTCTGTACATGTGTATGTGCTTATAAGTGGACAGAAAATTCAGTTCATATATCTGTGATTATTTTGAACATAGGATGACAATTATAATATATTATACTTTTTTCTATCTTAAATGTACCATTTAGCATAAATGATAAAATATGTAATGCTGCTAGTTACATGTTTATTAATATGAGGTTAATGTTTACATTTTCAGATGGCTCTAAGTTTGTTAAAATTAATATTTTAGAAGATAATGTGATATTAAGAACTCAGAACTGCAAATTAAATTGCTTTTATGTATGGATCCCTAAATTCATGTGGAATCAGCTTGGTGGTGGTGTTCAACTATTAAGTAGGTGGATACTTTTATGCCAAAGTAAACTTCATCTCACCCCTTCTTCAAATCTCCAACTTTACTCATTGATAGGAAAATGACTTCTCCAATTTTATTCATCTAACTTCCTGAATTTTCTTTGACATCTCTTTTCCCCGAAGCAGATTAGCGGGGAAGAAGTGGGCCTGCTGTCCATGCATAGGGGCAGGCTGCCTTTAGCTCTCATGTGAGTCACCATCATGATTTCAAGTCATGGATTTATTTTTACATGCTTATGCATGCATATTTACATGTATTAGTTACTCAGTTGATCTTAAATTCCATTAAATTTGAATGACGAGGAGAAAACTTTTGCCATAGGATTTTGTTCTCGTTATATTACATTTTATTTCGTTTTGTTTTGTTTAATGATCAGCTTAAGGCTCATAAAGGTTGATTTGCTCCTGAACTGCTTTGTTCCCAGACATTGCCATCTTCCCCAACTACCACCAAGTCCTCTCCATCTGACCCCATGACCACCTCCAGAGCTAACCAGGTACAGTATCATCCTTTCATCTACACCATACTTTCACAGCGATTGCCTGCCAACCGGAGAAAAGATGATGGTGGGTTAAGGATTTATTCGTTCATTCATATGTATGCACCATGATCAGATTTCAAAGAATCTAACAAATAAAGATCAATCATTTTTTTTTAATTTTACATGCATTTAACTTCATTAACAAATATTCAGGTAGTAGGTTTAATTGGAATTTTGGACTACTTCTTAACTGTAATCACTTTTCATAGCCCTGAGGATTAATTATTGAGTTGGTCTTTTTCATTTCTTTTAGTGTATCTTCCAAGAGTTTTTACAAATAATTTGGGCTTGTCCACATAGGTTATAGAATTGAGCAAATATATTTCTTTAAAGGTGAATATCATTTTATTTTTCGAGACCGGCCTTACTATGTAAACACAATCAACAATCAGCATTTCCAGCTTGAAAATTGCTGTCATTTTAGCATTGTTTATTAATTGCAGGCACAGTATATTTTCTTATTCACTTTCATTGCAAGAGTGTCAAACTTTGCAATGTGAATTATCTTATTAGTTCAATTTGACAGGTGTTTTGAAACTAAATATTTGCAGGTCAGCCTTCAAAAATGTGTTTGTTGAGTAAAATAATTCTTCAGATGTTCCAACACATTTGCATTTTATGTGAGTTGAGTTTTATTTAGATGAGAAGTACTTTATTATTTTCACTTTTCTTTTTAGTCTTTCTGAGATTATTTACATAATAATAACAGTTTATATTTTAAAATATTTTTTATTAGTTGGCCAACAAGGTATTGCTACATATGTTGCCCTTGGCATTCCACATATTTAATTTAAAGCAACCAGCATAATTTTGCTCATTGACAGATTCTAGTCATTTTTAACCTCACAGAAATAAAATGACAAGTAAATCTAGGCCATGTTAGGATGCTGGTCTACAGGTGGAGCTTGGTTTTCTTCTTATGGAATGAAGCTTCCTTTAAACACAGAGTCGTGATCCTGTCACTTTGGCCCTGAAACAGTTAGGACACATCAGAATGATGGATCCATCGCTTTTCTCTGGAGAACGTAGTGGTGTGCAGGTGAAAAGAGCATCCAGGGCTGCCCTCATGCTCCGGTGCCCTCTTGCTTAGGTCTGTGGCGTAGAATCTCACCAAGGAAATGCCTGCCTTTTGTTTTCGATGTCTCCTATGCTCCACTAGTGTTTGATTTCTCAGCAGAAGCTGGATAGAGGAGCACAGCATAAGCAAGACCAGTGATTTTTCTCACAGCAAGATGCTAAGTAGAAAAACAGTCGACGAATTTTGTCTCCGAAATTCAATATGTAGTTTACGTTTATGAACGTGGATTTTTATAAAAATGATTTCTTAAAAGGCCAACTAACCTACTTTCTTATTAATGTTTTATTTTACCCTCCATATATGCTTTCACACTTGCTTCTGTCAAATCTGCTATTGAAATAATTTGAAATATAGGCACTGTGTTATAATATTCTGTTTACTGTGCTTATACATTTTGTTACTCATACAGTTTCTTTGTTTTGGGGGGTTTTTGTTTGTTTGTCTTTTTTTCCTGTTTGTGTAAAAGAAGCATAGCTCCTGGGTCACATGAAGCACGTGATAAAAGAAGAACAGCAAAATCCTTATTTATTCAAGGAATAATAGCTCATCAATAGCATTTAGTTTTAGTGATTTGTAACACCTGAACTCCTTCGTGGTAGGTTCTCCCCAGATGGCTGTGACAAAGGAATGTAGTCCTTCTTTACTCACACCTTACGTGTCCTACACCCAGTCCTTTCTTGTGAATTGCCCTAGTTAATTTGCTGATTTATGTTTTTCTATAGTCCAGTTAGGAAAATATGGCTCAGTGGAACAATTTTAAACTTTATAGAAGGAAAATATCATATAGATCTATGTACTAATTTTAACTTAGTTTATATTTATTCAGCTATTATTAAATATGTTTTTAATCTTATAACGGATGGAAATAGGGAAAGTCATGGAATTCTGTTTTAGATTAAAAATTGCTGCCATGTACTATATGTTGTATGATAATCCTGCTGTAAAGGCGGGGGAAGAAATCTTTTCCTAAGAAAATTGCAATAAGCAAAACAAATTACAGTCAAATAACTAACATTTGTTTCGTTTTCTAATGAGTATTGGCCAAATGAATTTTGGTCAAGTTCTCACTTGAGATAGTTTGTGTTACTTACTGATAAGTAGAAAAGCACTAGTGAATGGTAAATATCCAGAAAATCTAGATAAAAACTGTAGGAGTAATTCAGAGCCTGTGCTTGCTCTGCAAAGCCACCATTGCACACTTTTCATCCTGCAGTTGTGTTCAGCCCTTGAATCTTATCCATTCAGCCGCCTTAGCATGCATGATTCCTTGAGTCCCATTCCGACTACACTGTTGTTCAATAGCAACTCCCCCAAAAAACTGCAGAACCACTGTGTGAGAAACCTAAAGTGATAGCGGATGTGAACAGCAGAGCAAACTGTGTGGTGAGGACCTTGTCTTTCCATTTGCCTTCTGAGTAGTCCCATGTGAAACTCATATGCTGGGGTTTCTCAGGGCGGGTACCGAAATCCCCGGCTCTCCTCACAGTGATGCAGTGGCGCTGAGTGTGTTCATTTAAAGGAAATGAGAAAAATCTTAGTCCTTAAAAGTAAATTACTTGGTAAATAGCTTATTTAAAGTGCTTGAGTTATCAACAATCTAATGCTAGTGTTGTCTATTTCTAACGTATTTCTGTGATCAAATTTACTGCCCTTAGCTCAGTTCTGTAGTCAGCATCTGGAGAGCACGCAGTTGCTCTTGCTTGGTAGTGAAAGGTCGCAGTCTATCAGGAAAAGTTGGTAAAGCTAACACTCCTACACTTTTATTTTCTTTTTATGTGTTTCATATTTTAAAATGAATGTTTGCAGCCCTTTTATATTTAGAATTTCCAAGTGAAGACAATATAAAGTTAAAAGAATTAGCTAAATTTTCACAAGTGTCCCCAGGAATTTATCAATTCCAAGATGATGCTTATTGCACTTGTCATATGGCCATGATTTTATAAGTGGTTTTATTAGACAGTCAGTGGTGACTGGTGATCAGGAGGGGGCACCGATAGCAGGTGCAGGCCTTCTCCACCATCATTCTTGCTGCTTCTTCTTTCTTAGACCATAGCCTTACACGTACTTCACTGAAACTGACACCATCAAAAGAGACCTTCCATGAGCTGATGCCAACAACACTTACTAGACCAGCTCTCCACACCCGCGCCCTTTGCCTTTTCAGTTATTTCCACAGTCAGTTCTCTCTCTGCTCAAAGTCAGTTATTTTGATTATACTATAGGTATATGCTTTCCCTATTGCTGAATGATATCCTCTCTTTAATTGTACCTTTTGTCAAGTTTTGACTCTCCGTGGACATATTCCAATCTGCATGCAGTGTTTTCTCCTGTCCTTTTAATTTAAATGTTGACCCTCTTATAGCTGTATGCAACATATTGTGAATATATTCACCCTGGGACTTCCCCTCCCTCCTCCCCTCCCATTCCTGTCTCCCATTTTAAACCACTGAACTGCCTTCTCGTTATCACTCTTTCCCTCACAAACTAATGCCTCTTCTAGTCCTTCATAGCAAAAGTCACCAAGTATCTCCAGTCTGTTTCCAGTGTTCTCTCTGTTCCTAAATTTACTCCAGGCAGGCTTTTACCACCACCATTACACCAAACCTGCAGTGAACATCAGTGGTAGCCACACTCCTAATTCCAGGTGTTCTCAGTCCACATGTTCATTGACCTGTCAGCAGTGTGTGTCCTATTTTGTTACATCAACTTCTATGCCTCCTGTGGTTAGTGTCCAGGATTCTACACCACCATGTTGATCCTGTTCCTGCTCTGTTACTGGTTCCTGCTCTTGTCCCCATCTCAGTGATGGAATGTCCTAGTCTTGTGAGCATCATATATTTTGCCTTTTATGTGCTGTTATAAGCAGAATGCATGCTTTTGGATTTTGTGCTGCTTTTGTACCTTACTTGTTACTGTATAAAAAAACATTTCTCAAAGATGCAGAGTCTGGAAAGTCCACAATCAAGATACTAGCATCTAATGACAGCTTTCTTGCAGAATATTCACACAGCAGAGGGTAAAGGGACAGAAAAAGAGATCAATATAATGTCTTCACGTGACAGAAGAGAGAGAAGCCCTTTCTGAAAACATACATAAAATAGCAATAGTAGCCTGTTTATGAGGTCAAAGCCCAAAAAATGTGGGCACTGTTGCATTGGGGTCAAGTTACAATACATGAATTGTGGAGAAGACAAAAGCTCTCCCCCAAACCACAGCAACTGTGAACTAACAGAATCTTTATGAAGGCTCATACAAGCTCCCTACTATATTTTAATGTTCATGGTTTAAATTTATAATTTTCCAAATATTTCCTAAAATTTAAGCTTCAGGTCCCCAATACCTTGAACTCACCCCTCACCGTACAATCCCAGACTGCCTGCATCTAACAAACTAACTGCTACCCTAAGCCTTCTCCTTTTAAACTTTATTCTCTTGCCTACATCTGAATGATTTAAACCAATTGTATGGTAAAAGCCAATGTACCCAAACTTGCATGGGCACTTGTCAGGCTCTATCTGCCTCTGAGCACACTGCTTCTTCTATCTGATCATGAGTTAGCCTCTCATTCACTCTGGACATTCTCACCACACAGTCGCTCTTTTTGTCAGACACTGGCGGCTTCTCCCACAGTGCTCTGCTCTTGCTTTTTCAGCATGTGAAATTCTAATCTCAGAGATCTGTTTGGTTAAAAACTTATAATGCTTCAAGACTGTTACAAACCACGTACTCGAGAAGACCATGTGACTGACTTGTAGTGGGCGTGTCCGGTCTCCCTCTCACCCCAGCATTTCTGATTGCATTGTTCATGCTGTTCTTTGTTCTGCTGTCCTGGGAGTGCCATGAACTTCATTACTAATACATCTGGTGTGTGCCGTGT